CATCCACTCGGCCCAGCCATAGTCCCCAGGGGTTCGATCCAACAAGAATCTAGGTGCTATTCTGGCAATATTTGGTAGCTGTGATGAACATCGACAATCGGCTGCCTTCAGTAAAGAGGGTGAGCCTCCAGAATGGGGGACGGAGGGGCACCATCCAATCGGTTCAGGGCCTTAAAAGCAAAAACTGAGGCTTCCCAGAGAAGAAATTCTTGCCTGACGACTGCAGCATAAATCCCGCCTGAGTCTCCAGCCTGCCAGCCTGCCTGCCCTATGAATTTCAGACTTGCCTTCTCCTGTGATTACGTGAGCAAGTTCTTTACGATAAATCTAATGATAGATGGGGATATGGATATGGGTGATGAGGAGGAGGAAGGAAATGGAGATGAAGAAGATGGAAAAGATGGAAATGATGGAGATAGTGGAGATGACAGCTGGTGGAGAAGATGGAGATGACGGAAAGGTGAAGATGGTGGAGAAGATGAATATCTAGATGGTGGAGCTGATGGAGATGATGGAACTGTAGGAGAAGATGGATATGATGAAGATGATGAAGATGGTGGAGATGGTGGAGATGGTGGAGATGATGGAGAAGGTGGAGAAGATAGAGATAATAAAGATAATGGAGATGGTGACAGTGGTGGAGAAGATGAATATCTAGATGGTGGAGCTGTTGGAGAAGGTGGAGATGAAGATGATGGAGATTGTGAAGATGGTGGAGATGATGGAAATGGTGAAGATGGAGATGATGGAGAAGGTGGAGATGAAGATGACAGAGATGGTGACGATGGTGGAGAAGATGAATGTCTAGATGGTGGAGCTGATGGAGCTGATGGAGCTGTTGGAGAAGGTGGAGATGATGAAGATGATGGAGATTATGAAGATGGTGGAGAAGATGGAGATGGTTAAGATGGTAGAGAAGATGGAGATGATGGAGAAGGTGGAGATGATGAAGATGACAGAGATGGTGACAATGGTGGATAAGATGAATAACTAGATGGTCGCAGCCGGCTGATCCGGAGATGATCGAGAAGGGAGATATTGAACATGACAGAGAAGTGTGCACTGGTGGAGTAAGATGAAAACTAGATGTGGAGCTGAGACGAGATGAGAAGGTGGAGATTATGGAGCTGATGGAGCTGGAGGAGATGGAGATGGATAGAGATAGCCTATTGGTTTTGACTGACACAGATGCCCACATCTCTGGCCCCAGGCACTTCTAATTCCTTCCCACCTGGCATTGCACGATGTTTCCTACTGTCCACCTCTAAATCTTTAAAATGTGGTTGCTGAGAGCCCCAAACCCAGACCTGAAGGGCTGTCTAGGATGGAGGGATATCCAAACCTGTAGAGCCGTACACACGGGTAGCACCAAGCACTGAGGTCTCATCCTGTACTCTTCACTCTGCAGGTCCCCATCCCAGCCTCTCACTCAAAACCTGAGAAGTGACCTTGGCTTTGATGGGCAGGGAGAGAGCTAGTGCATAAAATGTCTGTCTTCCAATCACCAAGATGTTAACTTTCCAAAACCTAGATTTCCCAGCAATTCTGGATAGAACAGAAAAGCAGCAAGTGAGGAGCACGTTGCAGAACCTGGTGGGGTGTGGGGTCACCGAGGGAGGGGATGCACAAATGGGGCACTCCGCCGCCCTCAGCGGGGAAGCGGCATGTCCCTGAAGGAGGCGATGGCGTCTCCACGTACCCGGGCGGACTCCATTAGGCAGGGAAGACGCACCAAAGGAAGAGCGGGGCGTCCAGAAATGTCTCTGAGCTTGATTATTTACACATTTGTCATGACACCTGAAGAAACAAACCCCAAAACCATTTTAATGACATCCCATGGGGGGAGCAAAACCTCCTGTGTTCCTGGTGCCACAGCTCCCTGCATGAGCAGCAGCAGTTTCCACAAGTGCACGCTTTGCCACGAGGATCCCACTTCCACACACCCACCCCTCGTGGCTTGTCGTTTCTGCCCTGTTTAGAATTGGCTCCAGCTCCCGAGCAGGTTGTCAACCCGCCTCCTCCCTGGAAAACCCGAGGAGAAGCGGGTGGGAGCCGGGGAGGGGCGGGGAGGCCGGCGCCAGTGAGGCCGGGGAACGTGCTCTCCAGACCAAGGGGCCGTCAGGCTGAGGCACCCTTGTCTCAAAGCTCTGCAGGGCCCAGCTGGGTCCCCCGGGCACCAGGGTGGCTCTGAACCTGCCACAGGAGACAGAGCTCAGGGGCCCCCATGCAGACCCAGCGTGGGCGGCAGTGCCCACAAGCTCCTAAAAATAAGCATCCGCTCGCCCGGAGCCCTGCCGACTCTCCACCTGGCCCCGGAGCGTCCGCGCTTCCTGGGCCTGAGCGCTGGCCGAGCCCAACCTGGGACGGCTGCGGGGCAGAGCAGGGGGAGACAGCCCAAACCTGTCCAACGTGAAGGGCCAATGGGGTGCTGCCCTCACCCATGGGGGGCTTCGGCGACACCAGGCACAGCCAGAGTCCAGGGAAGCCGGGAGCTTTATGATGGCACCAGCCTGGGGAGCTCCGAGGCCAGTCGGGAACGCAAACCGGCCGGTTGCCAGACGCAGCAAAACCCAACCAAGGCAGAGCTCCCACGGCCCGAGCCCCCAGGGCAAGCCCCCCAGGGCAGGAGGCAAGCCTCCTCCGCCTGGCCCCAGCAGGGGGAGGCAGCTGCGGTGTGGGCACAGACGGCTCCCCCATCAGAGGGCTGGTCCCTCCCCTGCAGGCAGGTGGGCAGGCAAAGGCCTGGCCAAGGGTCATCCCGGAACCCTCTGGCCGCAAACATGCGCAGTGCGGCACCTTCCGAACGCACGACGTCTGTCAGGGAGGAACGCCCTGGCTTGGCTTTGAAATAAAATAATAAAAATTCAAAACCATGTGCAGCTTCTTCCTGAAAGCCAGAGGTGCAGGTAGCTAGTGTAGAGTTCGCCCGGCGTGTGGATGTGGAGCCACGTCGATTGTTCCGGAATCCCACCGTTGTCCCTGCACAGGGCCCTTGCCCCACGGCAGGCATGGGCAGCAGGGACCCAAGGCACGGCGGCAGCGGTGGCGGCGGTTGCAAACTCACTGGCCCTTATGTTCTCTGGAACACGGTGGTCTCTAGTCGAGCCGCGTTGGGCGCAGCCTCCGGCCCCCAGACGTCTCGAGGCTCCGGTGGGGCCAGGGTCCCCAGGTGTCTCTGTCGTCTCCCCTCTTCCTCTCTGAATGGGACGGGCCTTTGTCCTTCTGTGCCCTTCTTGCTGCCTCTGCTTCCCACACCTGCCCGTGCCCAGGTGTTCCCCTCGCCCTCTGGGGCCTCGTCCGATTCTGCCACGTGGAAGGCACAGCCGGCCCCGGCTCCCACGCACACGGTGCCAGACGCACACACAGGCTTGGCCCGTCACTCCTACCAGAAAAGCCCTCGTGGGATGGGCACCAAGTCAGCAAACCAAGGACTGCACCCCCTTTTCAGCCTCGGTATGCACAGTCATTCTCCCCGGATAGCCGCAGGAAGGTGCCGTGTGCGGCCCATTTCCACGCACCTGGCCGCGGGGTCCGCGCAGGGGCTGGGCAGAGGGCCCTGGCCAGCGAAGGCAGGCTGAGGGAGGAAAAGGACCCGCCATTCTGGGAGTGGCAAAGGGGAAGGAGAGGGGTGAATGGAGCTGGGGCGCCAGGGCTGGCCAGGAGCTGGAGGGCCGGCTGCTCTCTGCAGACGCCCCGGGATGCCACGGGCCACAAGGAGACGCCGTGGAACTTGCTGGGTCAGGGGCACAGGCTCCTGGGCCTCCCTCGGCTGTCCGCTGAGATTCGGAGCCATGGGGAGGGTGGTTACTGCCATTCACCCTCGGTTGTTCTCTTCTCTTAAATGGGAACAGGTGCACGGGACCTGCGTTCCCTCCAGGGTGACCTTGCCTTGCACCCTCCCAATCTTGTCTCTAAGAACTGGGCATCCCAGCCCTGGCTCCCCAGGAGGGAGGGGGGACCTGCAGCCTTCTGATTTCAGGATTGTTCTTTAAGCACCAAAGGAGGCAAGAAAAGCTTCACCTTTCTCTGCTGCACCCCTTTTAATAAAAGGATTTGTTCTGTAAAGTTTGGATTCAGTCAAAAGGCCACACTCAAGGACCTAGAAGGCCACATGTAGCCTTAAGGCCACAAGTTCTCCACCCCTCTAGCCTCAAATTTGCCCTCCCCCTCCCACTCCTCCTCCTCCTCCTCTGCTCTCCACATTTGATCCCTCATTCCACCGCTGAGGGACATCGCACCGCACCCCTGCCCAAATGTCGACGCACATCCCCCCCCTTCCAGACGGTCAATACCATCAGACCAGACTAAGCCACCACCGTCCTAACCGTTCCCACCACTCTGGCTACAGACCGCGACTGCTCAGTGGGCGCCTGGTGAGTTAAACTACTGCCGGAGTTTGGGGTCTCTGGGGATGAGCCTGTATCAGTCAGGAGAGGGGAGGTTCTGCCGCAGTGACAAGCGGCACCCAGTGGCAGCCGCTCTTTGCAACAGAGGTTTTGCTTCGCCATGATGCACTGAGCTCCTCACACCAGGAGCCAGGCTGACGTTCTCATCTGGAACATTCCTGGTGGCCCCGGCAGAGAGGAAAGAGGACAGGCGAACCACATGCTCCACCCTAAACCTTCACTCCAGCCACAGAGCAAGGACCTTGGTCATCAGGCAAAGGAAGCCATGTGGCCATGCTAGAGTCCCACATGGCGGAAGGGACCAAACACATGTGACCAGCACTGAGTCTGTCTCAGCAATGCTAACCTAAGACCACCACAGACCGCAGGACCCCAGGGTGCTTAGGACGTCCTGGCTGCCTTATAGCTTCCAGAAACGAGGAGGACCTACACTGACCAGTGGGCGCCCTGGGCTTGGGCTCATCTGCACCCCTGCTCCTAGTGGAGGGAGGGCCCCCCCCAGATTGTAACCCTGGTGCTCGGGTAACGAGCCTCGGGTGAAAACGAGGAGCGAAACCAAGCCAGAGAGAACATCCGCGTCGCCGCGTCACTCACCCCTTCCATTCCCGCGCACGTGTGCACCAGGGTGAGAAAATCACCTCGCCGCGGAAGGTCTCGGGTCTTGCAGAGGCTCTCCAGCCCGCCTACCCCAGGACTGCGGGTGCTCTGCCTGCTATACGGGAGAGGATTTCCATTTGGTTTCCCGTGAGCGGGAAGAAGGGCTGTTCTTGTGCCCACACGGCCCCGGGGCCGGCGGAGGACAGGTGCCACCTGCTCCGGACCTGGCAGGGCAGCGCCTCTCGCCGTTCCAAGGAGCTGGGAAGCTGGGCTCGGAGGGACCTGGCATGGTTTCCGTAAACGCCGCCATGGAGCCGAGGCCGCTTGGAAGGGCCTCGTCTTAGTGAATCGCGCTAACCCAGAGGCAAGGTCACCCCTCTGCCACAGCCCCCTACACACACACACACACACACACACACACACACACGTGTGCCAGCGTGTGTCTGCGTGTGCCTATGCGTGGGCCTGTGTGTGCGTGCGTGTCTGGCCTTGGAAAAGCAGGCGTTCAGCCTGGCTCCTCTCCCAGCCTCTCCAGCCTCCCTCTGTCCTTCACCGATGACCTGGGGACGGGGCAGACGAGACCTTTCTCTTCTCAGCCAGTCACTGCTCAAGATGCCATTCCTGGAAGGAGCGGCGCGGCGGGCAGTCCCTGCCCGTGTGCCGGCCGCACAGGTGTCGTCAGATGCTCGTTCCTTGGGGACTGGTCACTTTTCGCTCCTGCATGGGCCGCCGGGGCCCAACTCCGGGGTAGGGCTTTGCAGGGCAGAGCTGCACCGTGGGCTTTTGTGGACACTGCAGAAGACAGCAAGGCCCCTTCCTAAGGGTCCCCATCAAGGACAAAAGACCCAGACACATAAAAAGCAAGAGATGGAAGCTGCGCCAAGTCAGCACCGGGCACTGCAGGGGAAGTGAGGACCCCATGCCGCCGCCTCCCCCCGTTTCCCCGGCTACTCCTGTTTGCAGTGAGCCTCGGTGTGCGGCAGTCCCTGGCATGGCCACTCGCTGATCTTATCCATGCGTTGGGCCTTTAAGGAACGGGAGCTGCAGTGGGTCCCGGGACACCAATCGTGGCTAAGTCCCGAGGGCCCCTGACCCTGCAGAAGACGGACAGATGTCACACCATGCGCCACAGTGACTGCACTGCAGCTGGGCCGGAGCTCAGGGGCCACAAGAACAGCTAACTGGGGCCCCTGGGGGCAGTCAAGGAAGGCTTCCTTAAGGAGGTGACAGTGGAGCAGAGCTCTGAAGGCTGGGCTGGGGTTAATGACCAGGTCAAGGTGCAGAGGGAGGGGCCCCACCCAGGGCAGCTGATGTAAAAGCCCCCAGGCGCCTCGGGGTGCAGCGTTTGTGAGGAACCGGAAGGCCGGGAGGGAGGCGGCTCCCGTAGTGTAAGCTGAAATAAAATCTTAAGCCCCCAGATGACTGAATGGACCCCCTCTTGGCCAAGGGGACCCCAGAAATACCCTAAAGCCGAGTTGCCGGCCCTGAGGAGAAGGGAGGTCAGAGGCCTCTAGTCATGGCCCTCCCTCTGGAGTGACTCCTTGGAACAGTAAGGTACTAAAATCCTCACCAAGCCTAAGGCCACATAAGCCACACCCGTAGGCCACCAATTCACTTAAGAGGTCAGTGGAGTCTCCTGTCTGGGATGGTGAGTCCCGGGGCCGGTCTCTGATTGCAGACATCCTTGTCTTAGCTCAAAACCTTCCAAGCCTTTAGACAAAGCTTCATTTCTTTAACCAACTGCAAATCAAAGAACCTTGAAACCCACCTATCACCTGTTGGTCACACCCCTTTTGAGATGTCCCACCTTTTGGGGCCCAGCCAGTGTACGCCTTCCCCGAATCCATGTATGATCTTATGTGTAATTCTTGTCCCCGCGAGGGCATAACACCAAACTGCAACCCAATCGTGGCGGTACCACATGCTGAAGGCTTCCCCGGGCGTGGCTTCCTGGGCCATGGTTGCATATATTTGGCTCAGAAGAAACCCCTTCAGATTACTTTACAGAGTCTGGGTTCTTTTCTGTTGACAGTAGCATTTTGTGAAGCAATGTGATCGTATTTGCTTGTGAGAGAGGTCCTGCCTGTCACACACCACACCTGCGCCGGCCACACTTGGGGCTGAAGACCGCATCCTTGGAGGAGGGTGTGGACTAAAATAAAATTCTAAGGTTCATCCCCCACCAGCTGACTGAATGGACCCCCTCCTGGCCAAGGGGATATCTCAAAACTAAATTGCCTGCCAGGAGGAGGGAGGTCAGACATGCCTCCCTATGTCCCACCTCCATCCTTGGGGACTTCCTTTGTAACCCATTGACAGGCCTACGGGAATGCAAGACACACCTGCAGGTCCTCAATTTACACAGCAAATGTACGGCCAGTAGCTTGTCTCCGATAAACAGCTCTTTATCTGAAAACACGCCAAGCCTTTAGACAACGCTTCATGTCTTCAACCGATTACAAGTCAAAGAATCTTTAAACTCACCTGTAACCTGTAAGCCCCCACTTCAAGATGGCCCACCTTTTCAGGCCAAACCAATGTACGCCTCCCACATATTGATTGATGCCTTTACCTGTAACCCCCGTCCCCCTGACATGTATAAAACCAAACTGTGACCCAGCCACAGCAAGTCCACGTGCTCAAGGCCTCTTGGGCGTGGCTCTGGGTCGTGCTCCTCACATTTGGTTCAGAGTAAATCTCTTTAAGATTATTTTACAGAGTTTAGCTTTTTTTCCCATTGACAAGGGGAACGAAGGAAGCTCCGAGTGAGCTCGGCACGGCGGGAAACGGAAAGGACAGCAACGAGCGTCCTCAGCTTCATGCCGAGGTGCAGGGGACAGCCAGCGCCATCCTCTGAGATGGAGAACTTGGGGGGACGGGGGGGGGCAAGGGGCAGTGTGGCCCTACCCGTTTGGTTTTGGACCCGGAAAGGCCCGGGGAGGCACAGGCCTGTGCAGGAGGAGGGCCCACTGAGTGGGCGCTTGGGAGCCTGGTCAGAGCAGAGCTGGGCAGCAGCCGGGAGGACCTGCGGGCAGTGCGGGCCGTGCAGAGGTTAGCCCGGGAGGGGGTCTGCACGCAGCGCGCACAGCGAGTCCAGCAGGCTGGGGGCCAAGAGGGAGCTCCGTGCTGGGACAGCTCGGCAGGAGGAGCCGAGCAGTGAGCTGGGGTGAGGCGGGGAGATGGGCTTGGCACAGGCCTTCTTGACACAGGTCTCCGTGTATCTGGGCAGCACTGACCCCCGGCCAAGCTCGAGGGCCCACGGACCAGCCTTCCCGCCTCCCAGGCCGTGTCCTCAAGACTGGACTGCCTCCGCCCCTGTGGACCGAGTGCAGAGCTGTCCCCAGTCATGCGCACCTCCATGGAGACACAATGTGACCTCACAGCCCCTCCCACAGAGGGGCAGGGCTGGTCTCCTCACCCTGGCATCCTGCTGGCCTCGTGGCCACAAGACGCCCTGGAAGTGAGGGGTGCCAGTTCCAAGCCAGGGCCTCAGCAGGCCTTGCTCACATCCACCCGTCTTGGGACCCAGCCAGGGGTGTGTGGACAAGCCTCAGTGAGCCTGCCCGGGGCTGAGAAGCCCCAAGAAGCAGAAACCCACGGCGCCGTCCAGCCCGGCCAGGCCCAGCTAACCACAGACGCCCAGGGGAGTCCAGCCGAGGTCACCCAGGCAAGAACCACCCAGCTGCCCACAGAGTCACGACCGAGAACAAACAACAGTCACTTCTAGCTACGGAGTCCGGGGGCTTATTTGTGACGCAGCAGTCGCTAACTGATACACCCTCCCCCGCAAAGGCACGAGGACGCTCCGCAACTCCCCCCTGCTTCTCACGACTGCACGGAACCCAACGAGACACGCCGCTAAATTCATTCCGGGCGGGTTCATAATTGAGCTACTTGGTCAGATCTTCAGTTTGATTTTTTTTTCTTTTAATATCTTTTCAATCAGAGATATGAGAAGCTGTTCACAGCGTCCCTGCAGAGCTCTCAGAAGTGTCCCTTGCGGGGCTGCGCGGAGAGGCTGTCTTGTTTGCCGGGGGCCCGCTCTCTCGCCGCTGTTCAAGCGCCACATTTCCCTCGGACGGTGGCCAGGCATTTGACAGCGCGAGAGGCGGTGACGGGGTTGCAGCTGCTGCCGGCGTTCCTCTTACCACTCTGGATCTGCAACTGTGCAAGGCTGGTGACTCTTATCTGAATTGCAAGCGCAAGTGAACGAAACTTATTCAAAATAACTGGGAAAATTCCATGCCGGAGGCAAAAGGAAAAACCCCTCCTCTGCCGTGAACACAGAAGCTGGTCCCGCCGAGGCCGCTGAAATCAACTCAGGGACTGGCCGGTCCCCCAAATGTCTGTGGCTGAAGTGACTGGGAGGTGCCAGGCAGGAAAGTGGGAGACGGGGACCTTGGGTGCACCAATCCCCCAAGACCCCCGCACCCCTGAGAACAGGGAGGTGGGGTGTGAGTCCGTCTATGACAGCCCCTTCCCACGTGTGGTCACTTGTGGTGACCCCAAAGCCTCTCTTGGGACGTGCAGGGGCACGGCGGTGCCTGTGTTCCACAGCGGGGCACGGGGGCTGGGGCAGCACGACCCCGCACGGCGCGTCCACACTGCATGTCCACACAGCCTGATCCCAAGCCTCCACCTGCAGTCAGGTGTTCTCTGCAGGAGGCGCCAGCGGGGCAGGGGCCCTGGCACCTGCTTTTCCATCCTAACTACTGTGTTTCCCCTAAAATAAGACAGGCTCTTATATTTATTTTTCCTCAAGAAGACACCCTAGGGCTTATTTTTTAAGTACGGCACAGCCATCTACATTTATTCAAATATAGCGAAGTCGTCGTCTTCTGGAACATCATCCTAACTCTCCAAACCCCGAATTCCATCCTGAATTTCTTGAGACTCTGTTTCCTTTAGAACCATCGGCCCCGATCTCTCATGTGGAGCAATGGAGCTCTCATGGGGCAGAGGAGAAGGGCTGCTCGTCTTCTTTCCCGCTCCGCGACGAAATGCGTGGGTTGTGCAGATGCGCTGCGGAGCCACGCCCAGCACTAGGGCTTATTTTCGGGGTAGGGCCTATGTTGCGCAAATACTTAGAAATCCTGCCAGGGCTTATTTTACGGGTAGGTCTTATTTTCGGGGAAACACGGTAGGGATCCTCTGTTGCGATGGCCAGGCTAGTCCTGCTCGGGGGAGGGAAGGCGTGATAGATACCCACCAGGGGGACGCCAGCATCATCCACAGCCCCGGGGAGCCACCCAGCCGGGTCCCCCGGCCCAGGGCTGCAGAAGTCACCAGTCAGGCCAGGTCCCCTCCCCCTCCCCGCCCAGAGCAGCAGGAGGCCAGAAGCCTTTCCCTCCCACAAGCACCAGCCTGGTACCAGGCACCTGGGGACACCTGGGCAGCCAGGGGTGCGGGCAGCCACAGATGCGGGGAGGCTGCAGGAGAGGAGGTGACAGAATTCCCAGAGGGACCCACTTCATGGGAGGAGGGGCCGCTCCAGGAGGGGGTGTCCGTGTCCCGGGCGGTACTGGAGGCTGGAGGGCGGGATGGGGTGCTGGCTCTGAGGGAGGACCCGCCCCCCGCCTCGCTGCTGGTCTCCGTGCTGCTGGGGACTCCCAGGCACTCCTTGGCTAGTGGCCATGTCCCTCCAGTTGCGTGACCGTCTTCTCCTTGTCTTGTCATGTCATCTTCCCCAAACCACCCTAATGACCTTGTTTTAACTCATGACCTCTGTGAGCAACCCCGTCTCCAAATAAGGTCACATTCTGAGGTCCGGGGGGTGAGGACGTCAACGTCTCTGTTCGGGAGGACACGATTCAGCCTAGAACGGGGACAGCCTCTCCCCTCCCGACCCCCGAGTCACCACTCCCCCCACCTCCCCAGGTGCTTCCCGGGGGCGGCTGGGGCTTCAGGCCCCCACCAGAAACCACGGGAAGGAGCCGGGGAGCCCCTAGAAGGCTGCAGAGGACGGCTGCACGCACCCGACACCCAGGCGGGTCTGTCCCCCACGGTCCCACCGCGGGGGTCCTCCCAGGCGCGGCAAGGCCCAGAGGAGGGAGGGCTGTCAGTTCGATGGTGGACACCCGCGTTTGATATGGAGATTTGGCAGCGAGAAGGGAAGTGCCCTGGCGAGAGGTTTATGTAAAATGACAGCTTCTGGAAAATGAAGCCCTCCGATTAAAAAGGATGTTGGAGGAGGAAGAGGAGGAGGAAGGCAGAAGGGAGGGCCCTGCCCCCCATGCACTTCCTGGAGGGGGCATGAGGGGTGTCCAGGGAGAGAGGCCCCAACATACCTGCTAGCTCCCCTCCCCCCACGGGCCAGCCCCTCCTATACTGCCCTGGCCCTTCCTAAGCCGGTGGGGACCCAGCACCCAGGCTGGGTGGGGGCAGACCGGAGCCAGGACAG